AGGAGGAAGAAAGGATCAGCCCACTTTCCTCCATCTTAGAACTTCTGACCCCCATGTACAAAGTAAAAACCCCCCTGGACAGGTGCTAAAACCCCCCTGTACAATACTAAAAAATTTCCCCTCTGTTTTGTAACTACTTTTACTATGCTATCTAACCCTTTGTGACTGCTTGTTCCACCTCCAAAGTTGGTAACTCATTCCATGGCTCAAACTCAAATTCACAGCTGTTTGCAGCTGCCTGCCAGGGTCTAAAATGCTTCTGACCAAGACCTGGAACCTCTAAAAATGTCTGAGGGACATTTTGAGTTCCAAGAGTTTGGCAGCTTTGCATCCCGAGGTGGTGAGGGATGTACAGAGCAGCAGGGTCTGCACTGAGCTCCCTGCAGGCTGGGGAGCAGCAGAGCCAGCACAGATGGTCGGGCTGTGGAGCTCAGCCAGGCCAGGCTGCCGTGTCCCCGCAGGAATCCTCCTCCTGGAAGAGTTTTATGGATGTATATTTTACAGGTGACTTGCGAAATATAAAACTAGAGCAGTCTGCAGTTTCTAAAGAAATAAATGATTGGTGTGAGGCTCGGCGAGACAGTAATGTTTGATGTGTTCCATCTACGTGACACCTCAGGCTGCTTTTGGGCAGAATAACCTGCTGCTGCCAGCCTCTGCTGCTCTAAAAACAAACCAGAGGATGCTCCTGGGGCTGGGGGCTGCCTGCCTCCCCTCTGCCCCAGCAACTGCTCCCTCCCTGCTGCAGAAATCAGGACAGGGAGGGAAAGTTTGGTGTCAGTGTGGGTGAGGTCCCAGTGAACCTACAAAAAGGTGGATGCACGTAAAAAATTTATGTTGTCCTGTAGCGGGGACACTTTACCCCAAAAGACAGAGCCTCACTGGGCTGGCTGTTCCCTCCACCTCTGGAAGATGGGAAGGTGGTTATTTTAAAGATGCTGGAGTCATGGAAAGATTCCTGCTGACCTGCAGGGGCTGGAGCAGGAGGCAGCTGCACACATATGGTGAGTGAGTAACTGTCTCTAAAACAAATGAAAATAGAATCGGATGCTTTGCCAGGCACAGAATTCCTGCCAAAGCTTGTTGCTGCATCATGTTGGTGTGTCCTGATCTGGCTGATGTCAGAAACTGCTTATTATGCAGAAAACTCTCGAGGAGAAGTGTCATTATTGCCTTCTGTTCCTTTGTAGGCTGGGTCTAATTTAAGCAGGAGGCAGTAAAACCCAATCCATCCCTACCTTGTGGAGCTGAGCTTTGGTGGGATGGCTGAGAAAGCCTCCCAAACCCTCTGGCTCTGCTAAGTGCTTCTCTAAGTGTGATATTTCAGGTCAAAGGAACAGCTTTTCTCTGGGAATCTCAGTTCCTTGATTTTGCATTCATCAATACTATATCTCAATCATGTCATGTGCAGATGGGTCCTGTTAGACTCGTTGCATAGACCCTTCAGGATCCACCAGTGTGGATGAAATCTGTCAGCTCTGGGGTGATTTTAGCCATAGCAACCTCCTCTGGTGTCACCCACAGTGCTGGCTGACAGGAGAGAGCAGAGACAAACCTTGGCTTGGCAAAGGGGTTTGTGCCCAAGCTCTGAATCAATGAACTCACCTACCCTGGGCATTGGCCAAGTGTCAGATTTAGGGACAGCATTCAGCTTGGTGGGGTCAATGGAAAGCTGAATTTTCTAGTGTTTCTTAGGCTTTGTTCCAGAGCATCAGTTTTTTGTCAAATCCTCACTGCCTGGGATTAACCACAATTGCTGTCAGTACGAGAGGGTCCATGGGGCCAGAAACCCAAAACACCCTGTGCTTTTTGATGGGGCGCTCTAAATACATCTCTAATAATCTAAATTTAATGTACATTACTCTAAGAGCTCTTTTTAAAAATTATTATTTCTTTCAAAACCAATAGGGAAAACAGATGAGCATCCCTGAACCCCAAACTCTCCGGGCAGCATCTCCCGCGTGGGGCAAGGGTCAGCCGCGATGGCCGGGGCGTGGGCAGCCCCCCGGGGTCCCCGCAGCCCACGAGGGTCCCCGCAGCCCCCGAGGGTCCCCGCAGCCCCCGAGGGTCCCCGCGGCGGGGCGAGCCGGGCTGTGCCTGCGGCCGCATCCCGCGTGGCGGTGCTCCTGCCCCAGGGATGCTGCGGCTGCCGCGCCGCAGCCGGCAAGGGAGCGGCGGGGAGCGGGGAAAACCAACTCCGACACGTCGGAAGGCTCGAATTCAGGGCGAAACCTCTCCCCCGAGGCTCCCTCGGTGTGAAGCAGGTATGTCCCCCTCTTGTCGTGCCCGTTCGCCCTGATACATCAAAGCTGCGGGATGGAGCGGTGCCTGCGGGAAGGACCAGCAGCGGGAACCCCCTGCATCCTCTGGGATGGATGCTCCATCCTCCACTGCGGCCCCTGAGCCTTGTCCACCTCTGTTTTTGGGGGGATAAACCAAACTCTCACGTTTCTGTGAGCAAACCGCACCCTTTGTCTCTTTTGCTGGGTGGAATGTTGTCACTGTGCTCCCAGGGCAATGGGCACTGGCAATTCGGGAGGTCTGAGGAGGGGTTTGGCTGCAGCCTGGAAAAATGTTTTGCTGACAGCTTGAGAGAAACTTCTGGTGCTCAAAAGCTTTTCAGAGTGTTTTTGACATTGATTATGCATAGACTGTGTAGTATAAAGGAGAAAATGGCTTTCTAGCATCAAACAGTAGCAAAGTCCGCATCAATAAAAATTACCAAGAAAAAGGAACAAAGTGTTTATAAGACAAAACTGTCTTCAAATTTATCAAGAACGTTTTTCTAACTGGGGGAAATCATTGCAAGGAAATAAAACTGATTTTGGTGTAGATCACAGCACTGCCCCTCTCCTTATGTGGATCTCCATGGCAAAATTGCCCCTCCACCAATAATATTATATAAATATATTATTACCACAGGAAGCACAGGGAGAAGAGCTGACATAATTTCTTCCAAAAATGCCACACTGAGGGTCACCCAAGGGATGTATTTTGCTGGAGTGTCTCTGGCAGGATGAATCCTGCTCCTTGCTCCCTAACTTTCTGTAATTCACTTCCAGCCTGTAACTTACTGGTACAACATTTTGCTCGGAAGAACATGAAGGAGACAAAAACCCAAAGCCCTCATCAATCACAGCCTGGCTCCTGGTACAATTAGCAAGTTCTATTATCTTAAGAATGACACTTGTAGCACGGAGCAAAGCCAGGCGCACCCAATATTCTAATTCTGCATGGAAAAAATGGAAGGCTTGAATTGCATTAGCATTGCATTAGATTCCCATGACTTTTTATATCAGCACTTGTGAGTTATTTATGAATTCATTTATTTACAAGGACAGCCCTTTCTGCATTCAGTTGCCATGGTTGCTTTAACTCCTGTATCGTATTAATTCTGGATGTTGTGAAATAGATATAGATCAGACAATCATTGTGTGGTGGCGAGTTTTCTTTTTATTATTCTTATTTTACTGTTTGATTCCCTGTGTCCTGATCAGAAAGGCTTTAACACCCATCATCTCTCCAGAGTATCCACTGCCAGCTGGCTGGGGAGGAGGTGTTGGGGCAATTCCCAGAGCTCTCCCTCCTGCCAATCCTTCCTGGCACAGAGATGCAGCCTGGGCTGGGGGAAATGTGGCAGCTCGTTCCTAGCACAGAGACACCCACTTTGCTCTGAGGCAGCAAGTGAAGAGCAGAGCTGGGAGCAAAAAGGAATGCAGGAAGGCCAGTGCCAGCCTGTGTGGGTGGCACAGGGTGGCACAGGGCACCCTCCCCTTTGGGAATTGCTGCAAAATCTCTTGTGATGGGGACCAGGTTTTCCTGCCTTCCCCCTGTTTGCAAAAACCACGGTGAATCCCAGGTGCCAAAGCAGGCTCAGCCCTAGGGAGAAGCCAGAGGGTTTTCTATCACCTCAGAGAGATCAGACTGTGTTTGAGAGCACAAATCTCACATGCAGCTACCCCTCAACTCCTTCTGGAAGGAGAGATCAGCTTGGCTGCTCTGCCAGCCGAGGGACAGAGAAACTCCTCTGACAAGGGAGAGCTGTGAGTGCTGCCTGTTCCAGCCAGGACATCATTCCCTCTGAGCAGGAATGTCCCAGGAGACTCTCGGATCTGCTGGGCCAAGAAACTTGGGATCTGTCCCTTGGAGAGGGCAGAGGTGCTGCTCAGGGAGGAGGATGGTGCTGGAGATCCCAAAGCCAATGTGGTGGAAGTGTTTTGTAATAGAATTCCACAAGAAAATTAAATCAATTACTGAGTCTAATAAAGCTCTCAAGGTTTTTAATTAAATGAAGTTTTAATTAAGGCAGCGTGAGCCCATGCTCTTTTGATATTCTGCTTCAGACCCTAGAGGATTGCGACTCCTTTTTGTAATTTACAGGGGCCGGATCAATCACCAGAGTCACAAAAATGTGAGAACTGTGTCAATTTTATGGGATGAAATACTGTACACGAGCCTGCAAACTCCAAGAGCTCCAGCTGGGAGAGGTTTTTGGCTTGGTCCTTTCATGGGCAGAGCATCAGCCTGAGCTGGTGTCCTGGGAAAAGTGTTCTCCCAAGCAAAACTCCTGCCATCTAATCCAGGAGGCTGCTTTAGTGGGAAGTTACAATAACTCAGAAATTCCCTGTTCCACACCAAGCTGGCACTTTTGTCTCCCACAAATTCATACCCCTTTTCTCTCATCCCAGATGGATCCTGGAGCCCATCCCAGGCTGTAACTCTTGTTCAGGAGCCAGACAGGAAAACTGCAGGCAAACCAGACCCACATCTCCCAACCTGGACATCTGGTAAGTGGCCCCAGAATGTTCTGTCTCTATTTTAGTCTTGTTTTGTACACAATATGCCCAAAACATGCTTTATTTCTTAAGGAGATAAGGATCTTTATGTAACCCATTTTTCCTTAACGCTAAGTCCTTTGTCAGGATTAAAGAATCCTAAAACATCTGTACAGGCTTGGGTGGCAGATGTATAGAACAAACAGCCTAAAATAACATGGAATATTAACCTGCTAAATGAGATATTAAAAAAAAAAATAAAATAGAAGGAGCCTCTTGCATTCTTAGTTACAGTCAGTTCCCAACCTCAGCTACCAAGGTGCAGGTGGATAACAAATGGGAAATGGGGATTTTCATGTGAGGAAGAGAGGGAACGGGGGGACCTTTGCTCACTGTGTGTTTGCAGAGGGGGCAAAGGGAAACCTGACTCCAGCTCTGCCCTGGGAACCAGGATCCTGGAGCTGCTCCTGGACAATTGTGCCCAGCTGGACTGGGAGCCTGGGCCTGAGGGGCTGGCAGGGAGCCCCTCTCCAGTGCTGCTGGTCCTGGAGCCCCAGGGGCAGTGCCTGAGAAAGGCTGGGAGCTGTGGAGAGCACGGGAACTGCCCTCTGCCAGCTCCGAATGGATGGATGGACAGGGGTGCGGATGGATGGATGGCTCAGAGCACTCAGTGACCACCCTGTCAATAACCAAGATCAAACCTGCTGCAGTTCAAAGTCTCCAGAGCAGGTCAGAAATCCCCTGCAGTGCCTTGGCCAGTTAGAGCCAAGCGTTAGCAGCCTCTGCCATCCTCATCTCCCATTTCCAACGATCCATACAGGTCCCATCAGTCCTGGCCACAGCCAGCTCCCTCCCAGCCAGCCAGCTAAGGCCATTAGTGTGATTACTGGAGGTCATGAAGTTCAAACCAAAATGTCAATTTTCATTTGGAAGAATGGTCCCATTTTAGGAGCAAAGGGAATTTTTTCCTCTCTCAAAGAGACCCCGACTGTGGAATCATTGCTCCCCAAAGACTTGCAAATTTCTGGCCAGCGAAAGGTGCCAATAGTTGCTGGAGCCAGTGAAAAGATTAACAAGGGTCACCAGTGCTTTCCTCTTTGCCTGCACTCAAAGGCTCTGGGGCCTATTTGGAAGATATTAACCATTGCCTTTACCTTCTGCACGTTCATCACTGCGTTTGGGGTCTTTATGGATTTATTGACAAGACAGTGCCCATTAATCTTCCCTGCAGCATGCCAGCCTGGGAGTCACTCAGGTTACATCACCCTGCAGACAGGAGCCTGTAGCCGGAGTTTTAAAAGGAAGATGGAAATGAGGTGAAGAAGGTGGTGAGTGAAGCCAAGTGCTGCTCTGAGAGGCCCTGGGGCAGGGAGAGCACCCACCAGCAGCCTCTGCCAGTGTGTGAAGGCCAAAGCTGACCTTGGGGAGGCTGCTGGGCTCTGCCCATCGATTCAGCAGGGTCAGGATGACCCCTCTGTGGTCTGGGGTTAATGATCCACATTTGGGGATAATTCAGGAGAGCTGAGAGATGGTGAGAAGATGGGTGCTGACCCCACTCAGAGTGTCCCGGGCAGGGCTGGTGATGTAACTGGAAGTTTTAGATGTCTCCTTTCTGGAGAAACTCAAAACAGCTCTAAAAGGCTCTTCTCACACCAGGTTGCTGCTGGGAACACTGGCTGGGCCATTGGCACTGTGGGGTGGCACATGACAGGGTAGGGTGGCACAGGGCAGGGCGGGCTCCTGCCCACCTAGGAGATGTCACACTTCTAAAGTGAGTTTTTTCTTCTATTTCATTGTGCTAAATAATTAAGTCTGTTCCATCTTTACCTAGTGACAATGTGGCACTTAATTAAGTAGTTTAATTAGAAGCTGGCAGCTTTAATTAAGTTTAGGACTGTAGAGGTGATCGGGAGCCTCCAGCCGAGTCGCAGAGCCTTTCCCTGGGGATGCGACGTGGTGGGGGAGAAACCTTTGTTCCCTTGTCCATCGTCCTTAGACACACCAGGGAAGGAACCAACACCAGCTGCAGCCCCCCAGCATCTCCCAGCCACCGAGGGAGGGGTGGTTTGAGCACCCTTTGGGAGAGCTGAGCTCACTGGGCCCATGGAGCAGGAGGGGTTGGCCAGGAGGATGGACCAGGTGGGACAGCAGGAGGGGCTGGCTCTGCCCAGAGGGTGCCCAAGCCTCCTCACCCTGGTGAACCTGCTGAACACGTGGGAAAGGTGACTCTGAGCAGGACAGGGTGAAGGCTGTGGTGGGCTCAGAACAGCATCTGCAATTCTACACCATGCCCAGGACTGTCTAAAAGATGTATTGCTTTTTAATAATGTAAATATGTAAATATTACCGAGGTGCCATTAATCCTCATTGCCTCAACATGATACCACTCTTAAGAACAAATGTAATAAGAGATTATTAATATGCAAAGTAATAGGACATTAACCTGACTAACGCCAATAAATTCCTAGCTTAGCACAAAGCCAGAGGCTGTTCACGGAGCAGCCTGAACCCCACTTGCCTTGGGGCACCCCAGGCTCTGCATCACAGAGGAATCCCAGTTATCCCTTGCCTGGGGATCCCAAACAACTGGGGAGGAGCAAGGAGGCCCTGGGAGAGGAGGAGAGTAGGAGCAGGCTGGGTTAGGCAGACCCTGCTCCTTGTTTTGAACCCCAACTGCTGAGGGTCCTTTTCCAAAGCCTCACATTTTCCCTGAGGGATTTCTTCACCCCTTATGGCAGCAGATTCATTTTAAATTCTAAACATGTATTAGGAAGGAGAGAAGCACAGGAGTGAACCCAGGCTTTGTGCCAGAATTCCTGGCTGGACTTGCTCAGACATGGCCAAGACTCCATCTCCTTGGTGGGTGGAATTTTCTCCCAATTTTCTGCACCTCTATTCACAGCCCTAAACCCCAGCTCTGTTAAAGGTTTCCAGCCTCCAAGCTGGGTCCAGTGCAGCTCCTTTCTCACTGCCTGCCTTTGCTGGTGTGTTTCCTCTTGGAATACAAGCACATCCAGGGATTACACATGGAAACAAGTGCCCCAATTTGCAGGTTCCTGTCTCTTCTCCTTGGCCCTGGCAGGGCAGCCTCTGCCTTGAGCTGTGTGAACGACAAGTGGGATCAGAGGGAGGACACACAGCAGACCAAAAGGAGCAGGGGATGCCATAAAGTCTGAATTTAGGGCTTGAAAAGGAAATTATTCTGTGCAAATGGCTGCTTCAGTTCAAATCAGCCCTGCCTTGTAAATCCTGCTCGTCCCTCTCAGGAGGGAGACACGGTGAAACAGCCAATATTTCAGGATTTCAGACACCCAGAGACCTTCACCTCTGAGTGTCCCCGAGCCCCACACGCAGGCACGGGCCTGGAGAGCAATTCAGGCACAAACATGGTCATGGTTTATGCAAAAATTAACCTGTTGCCCTTACTTGGGTCAAAGCAATTCCGTTTAATTTGGTAATCTGGGTTCTTTAACATTAATGAGTCCTTGGGGGGTGGGGGTCAGAACATCTCTTTTTTGGCTGAAGAGAGCAGCAGAGATTACTGTTAATATTCAGGCTGTTCAATAGAGCTGAAAGACCTTTTGCTATTGACAGTACTACTGGTTTTCATCTCATTGGTGAAGGGAAATTGCCAAATTAATCTCTCATTGGATCTGAAATTAATCCTCTATTTTGTGGTTAATGAACCTCAGAACCACAGATTTACCTGGGTAGAGTATATTGAGAAATTGTACACAGTAGTTGTCTGCAAATAATCAAGATAATATTCTAGGAAAAGAGTAAAACATAGTTTACTTTCTGTAGAAGAATTAAGTGGAACACAGTAAAATCAACAGGCTGATTATTTTTTCCCGCAGAGCATTACAGGATGATGGAACTCACTGCTGGAGGATCTGTGTAAGTTTTCTCTATGAAGGACCTAAAAAAAGCTATGCAAATTTATGCATTATATGTGTATCTACTGCTTTTAACCCAGGAGTCTCTCATCAGCAGTTTGCTGAAGGCTGCAATATCAATTAAATCACTCCAAACTCCCATAGGTAAGGGTTTAGGCCAACCAGGAGAGCTCCAGTTTATCTGCCTGAGCTGTTTTTGTCTCTGTCCCTCACCAATGCCCTCCTTGCTTGCTCTGCCAGAGCCCCTGGTGCTCCTTTCTCCCCTTGCTCAGCTCACTGGAGCTGCTGGTTGGAGTTCACTGTGCTCAACTGCACTTCCCTCTCCAGAGGTGAACCTTCCCTTTCCTTCTAGGGTTTTTTTCATGCATCACCACTTTAGCAGGCCCTTTTGTACTGGAAATCTGTTTGCCACATGTTAGTTGGAGCTCATCTGCTAAGATCCCCAGTTAAATATTCATGGGGAGAGAGCAGTTGAACTCAGGTTACACAGCAGAGATGAGAAGGGTGCTCTGGCAGAAGAGACTGACTCCATATCAAGTTAAAAACCCTGTGGAAATGGTTTATCCCACGTAAGGCCTGGAGAGGTAGGAAAACATCCCAGGGCATGGAGAGGTAGGAAAACATCCCAGTCACGCCGTGCTGCTGAGGTTCCACCTGTAAAGTGGCAGTCTGGAGCCCTAAAGCACAGCTCTGGTGTCAGGTGAAACTCTGCCTGAGCTTGTGGCTGTTAGAGAAGCCAGAAGGATCTTCCAAACAGGTTGAGCTTTTAATGGGATAAGGAAAATGAAGTGTCCTTGCATTGCATGTGTCCATGCCCAATGGGGAATGGAAACGGGTTGGATGGGGAATAGCATCAAACCTGCAGTGCCAGTCTGAAAGGAGTGACTCACAAACAGGTGATGCTTGGGCAGGGCAAGGTGCAGAGCAGTGCTGCCTGTGACAGGGCACTGTGCCTTTGGAGAAGTTTGGGGACAGAAGAGTGGCCTCAGCCTTTGGAGGCATGGCTGGGGACAGGGCAGGGCCCTGTACCTTCAGAGGAGGAAGCTGGGGACAGACCACCCAGCCAGCTCCTCTCTACTGGCTCTTAACTCCCACAACGCGACAGGAACAATAAGGGCAAAAGGACAAGAGAGCAGAAGTCAGTCTGGGGTGTCGGGTAACCGGTTACCTGAGCTCTGCCTAAAGGTAACTTCCTCATGAATAGCCCAGGAGCGTTCAGCCCAACAGCGACATGCGAGGCTGGTGAATTATGCAGGGCAGGGTGCTGAGCAGATGGCATCGCTGCCGTAACCTGAGCGGCCGCACGGCACAACACGCAAAGCCCAGCAATTAACCTTTTCCAAGGTTTCCTCTTGTCTCGGGGATTAAACCTCCTTCAACCCCCTGCGCTCCACTCCTGCCCGAGAGAAACGAGTAATCCCCCAAATAAATAAGGGAAATAGATTTCGATCCCTCCGGCAGCCCTGGGAGATTGTCGCACGGCTCCCAGCCCTCCACGTGAATAGTGGTGGGTCTGGAGAGGGAGAGCTCTGGGCTGCCTCTGGCACTGGCCCTTCTCAGACCCAGAACAGTCCCACCCCGCTGGGCTAAAGATGGGAAAAAAGTGAATTCCGTTCTCTGTCACTCCACCTTGGCAGCAGCTTGGTGACCACACAGCGTGGCGAGGAAAGGAAACATGAACGTGGGCAATGATTTACTACTTAGATGAAAAAGTATTTGCCAAATGTGAGGCATTCACCTAGGTGCATGACAAAAGCTATTATTTTAACTATGATACTTGATCCTCTTTGTAATTAAACTGATTAATTCACAACAATAGAGTCTATATCGCCTAATACTTTTAATTAACAAAGTGTTGTACATATACTGGCAGAGCATTACTGGCATGTTTCCTAGGCAATACACTTAATTCTGTAATAAATTATTAGGACAAATGACTAAGATACATTGCACCCTGGAAGAGACTGTCAAGAGAGGAGGACTTGAGACTCTTGGGCACTGGTTGGACCATCGTGGAGCAGAACAGAGCCTGGGGAAGGTAAATGTGTGCAAGTACAACACTGACAGCTACAGCACCTCCAGAACGAGCTGACTGCAGAGCCAGTCCTTCTCCTGCCAGGTCCCAAGATTGGGGTCACTAGCTACTGTAGGGACACCCTAGGAAGGAAAAGAGTGGTGGCACCAGGGGAAGAAAGCAGCAGAATGGAACTAACCAGCAGGATTTGACCCTTGGCACGTGAGGGACTTCAGTTCTTAGAGGTGACCAAAGTTTTAAAGATCGGTCATTAAGTATAAGAAGGAAACCATGTCTTTAAAGCAATGATATGGAGGTTATGGGAAGGACCCTATGTTTTTTCAGGTTTATTATGAATCAGTTAAGAGACAATACCCTGGGGACACATGCAAAGCAAAATTCATTCCTGCAACTTTTATTGGATCACAGTTGAAGAACCTCACAGTCACAGGTCATGTGTGTTACTTTAAGACACCATCCCTGGGGTCAAGATAATTAGCACCAGGGATCACATCACAGGCTTTTCCCTTTCCTCTTTGTTTCTTTGAGTTCTCTCTGACCTCTGGCCAGAGCCTCCCAGTCACCACTTGCCTCCAGTTTTCTGCCTGACAGACCTGTGGCTTGGCTCAGACACTCAGCTGAAGAAACATCCAGGTTTCTTCCTCTTTCAGTCCAGTTTGGAACCAGACAAGAGACAATTCATGGCAAACACACCTTTATCCCTCTATCCAAATTATGGGAGCCATTTGCTGGAGAGACTTTCCCATAACTGATACTGATTGTAAGAGCCCCAGAGCAATCACAGCTGAAGGGTTTTTAGCAGCAGCCACCGGGGCTGAGCACATTCCTTCCCATCCCTGGGCAATGTGGGCCAGCACCACTTCTCTGACTGGCAGCTCCCAGCCCGTTGTGCTTGGTCAGCACATCACAAAGATGAGTTCCATGCAAAAGCTGAGCCTAGCCTCTACCTCATAAATTTGTTATGCATTACATCCAATTAATGTAAATTATTACAGTGGCTAAATAATGGCTCTGTATCAGATAAGGGAATAATCATAAGTGAGCCTGAAAAGTCCCAAGGTCCAACTGTGTTAACTCTTTCCCCTGACTCCACTGGACCTGGTGTGAGCATTGGGAACCAGCCCAACTCCTCTGCCTTTGGAAAAGGGGACATAGACCTGTAGTCCTGTCTCTGAGGCAGATTTAGTGTGGGCTTTGGGGGGATCTGTGGTCAGAGTGCTCCCGGCACCGAGCTTATGTTCATCAGAAATGCCTCCAAGTGCCTGTGCTGCTGAGACCTGGAGGGACCCTGGTGTGTTCCTCAAGCAGAAGTGGTCATCAATGTTTGCAATAATTCCTGGACTCAGATTAAATGGAATAAAGCCCTGAGTTCCGAGCAATAAATAAATAGTCCTCTCCCTGCCTCAACGTGCTTCTCATGGATTCATTCTCAGGATTTCCTGCCTGTTCCTCCTTGCCTTGCTCGTGCCCAGCTCCTCGTGGTACCTGTTTTACCTTGGCAGAGCAGCCCACAAATCATAGTGACACACCAATCAAGAGATCTGGAAATTTTTACACCACTCTGCCTCTTGAAAGATGAGTCACCTTCTGCACCACGTTCCTGGGCATCCAGATAAATCTGTCACAAACTTCTCCTTCCCTCAAGGTGCAAAATTCTCTCCCTCTTTCAGCAGAGCTGTATTTCTTCCTTTCAAGCTCCTCTTTCTTGCCCCAACACACATTCCCACCCCTCAGCCATCTCAGTGTATTTCTCCCTTTGTTCCTGTTTCACTGACAACTTCATCCTAATAGTCTCCTCAAAGGAATGATGAATGCATAAGCTGCATATTGATCACTGCAGTGATTGATTACTGGATCTCTTTGACAGATGAGCCTACTAAGGTAGTTGCCAATATGGAGGTATGGATGGCAGGGCCCCCTTGTACAACAGTCTAATGGTATCTGACCTGATAGGGCAGAAAGGCAACTCCCTCATTTCAGCAGTAAAAAAGGCCTCTTTATACTCTTTATAAAATAATTCATAGGAAACTTAAAACACTCAGACACAGAGAGATTGCAAATGGGGAAATATGATGGATTATGGGTTGAAAGGAGCCGACTTCTGGAAGCTAAATTGATCCCCAGGAAAATGTTTTTGTCTGCTGTGAAAAATGGGCAATATCTCAGCAGCTCTGGAGGGCTATAATCTGGAAAATAATTTGCTTTTGATTTCCTTTAGTTTCATGCAGGTTTTTTTTTTTTTTTTAAGTTGGTTCCTTGCAGGTTTTGTTGCTCAGCTGGGAGAATCAGTGATGAAACAGGCGAGGGATAAGCCATGGACAAATACGAGCTGAGCCTTACTTATGGTTATAAAGCCCTCACCCCACCCAGTGTCACATATTCCACAGGAGATGTTACACCCCCTGCAAACAGCACTCTGCCTAGGAAAAAAAGCAAAGCCAAGCACAGAGTTGGGCATGAGTGTATCTGAAATAAATTAGAGAATCCCTGCCCGTCATCCTGCAGAGTCCTACAACCAAATGTGATGAACACACTCCTTTCATAAATGTCTCCAGATTGCCTCACTAACAAAGAGGAGTAGATTGCACAAGGTTTGCTCAGCCTCCTTACTCAGTCCTTGCTCAGTGAGAAAGCCCCTGTGTGTGATCCTGTGAAATGGGAGGCACAGTTTTGGGAGCACTGCTGGCACCAGGCAGGCAGGGAGAGAATTCCATGAGCTTATTTACTGCTTCTGCCCCTCACCAGGATGTCCTGCCTCCCTAATTTAGGGGCTGGAAAGAGAGAGAACATAGGGGTGGTCAGTGAAGCACATTTAGAAGCTTCTCTTCAGCAGAGGAGTTTCCTTTACTCCCATTTTTTATTCAGCTTCCCGCTTCTACTGCTAATAACGAGAAATGTTTTGGCAACAGCTAGAAGAGTTTTGTCCGAGTTCAGAGTGCTAAGAATAAAATTTATAGGAATAGTTACAGCCTCTCTGTGCCTGGAAATTCCTTGGCAGTAGGCTTTTGCTCCAGAGAAATATTGAATCAATGGTGTGCTAACAGCTCAGGAGCCTATTACAATAACACGCATACCTTGAGTCCAGACAATCAATAACTCAGCGGGATGCAGCTACCAGAAAACAACAACAAATTAGTTAGATTTCCATAGACTATACATTTGGTGAGTAATAATCTGTAAGTGGAAATGAACCCAGCCTGGAGAGACCACTGAGGCAAATGGAGATCTTTTATTCATGGCTTCAACTATTCACCGAGCAGGATGTTTGGGGAGGGCTTCAACCTTCTAAATATACATGTGCATGTTTGGCTTTACACATATTCCTACTGAGCCCAGCCACTTTATTGCTACACTGGAGTTCTGTTTGCAAAGGTTTTCCAGTGTAAGTCAGGATAAAGGCCCAGTAGTGAAAGACTGGCAGGCTTAAATTTAATGTATCTTATTATTTGCACATTCCTATTTTGAGGTATGGCTGAAAATCCCTAAATACAGTCCAGAGGTCAAATCTTTCTCAGGTTACATATTATTGCTGCTGACTTATAGTCTTCTAAGTCAGCCAGGATTGACCTCTGGCTGTATAAAGCACTCGAAGTATAAGAGCTTTCAGAAGAGCAGAACCACAAATCACCAGGTCTAAGTACTACAAACAGTTTCAAATCTATTTCCATGGTTTTTCCATGGACAAACTCCTGTTTCCTCTGAGACATCCAAGTTCATTTTTCTCCCTCTGGAATAATGAACACTTGAATTAATTTTTAATCATCGGTGCCTATCAAAAGTTGATTAGCCCTTTATTGCTAGAGCTTCTGTTAAGTAAAGCTAAATGATAAAGAAAAGTGTGAAAAAGCACAGGTGACATCCACACCTTTGCTACTGATTTATTCAGGCCACAGCTGTGCCTGTCCTGTTCCTCACAGATCTGGATCCCAGCTTTTACCCAACACCTGTACAGAAGAAAAGGGCCCACAGAAAATTATTTAAATTACTTGGCTAAATTCAAAGCAGCTCAACTTGCTCATCTAAGTGTAAAATTAGATCAGAAAGTAGCCATGGAGTACCAAAACATTAAATGTTTCTCACGCTCACCTGGCAGGCAGTTTCTGAGGAGGCAGATCTCACAGGCTGGGAGCTGATTTTATCTGCTCAGGCATTAAACTCTCCTATTCTTGGCAGATTTTAAGGAGCCCTTTTCTGAACACCAGGTTTTATTTTGCCAGCTGAAACACAAATACCAAAGAGGATGTGTTACAGAGATATATTTGCTTATTGCTTTTAGTAAAGTCTAAATGTCTGCTGCAAGCTCTCTGGGGAAAGCACATCTGCATTAAAAGTGGCCTTTCCAACAGGAGAGACCCTTCATAGCTACTGTTATTAGCCATAAAACTTTTAATCACATAGTTCTGACTGGACCTAGAGAGTGACTACATCTACAGGTAACACAAATTATTTTCTTCTGATTGTGCAATTATCCTTCATTTATAAGAAACACAAATTTTCAAAGAAAATAAGAATACCTATAATAACCCCAAACTTCTGGATATTTCCAACCCTGCACCACACTCCAATCCAAGCTGAGAACAGACAGGAAAGAGTCTCTTAAATGAATATATAAAGATAAGGCTGTGCCTATCACAAGAACATACATTAAATCGCTCCAGGAACATATGTACCTGTGGGGGTGTTGAGGAGGGTCCAAAATTGTGAATTCCATTTCAGGGAGACATTTTCATATGGATGTGGGGAAGCATTCAGCAGTGTCACGGAGTGATCTATGGCTATTGCCGACACAGGCCAGGCACAAGCACTGCAGTGAACTTCCACACTCGTGCACGTGGAACTATTTTTCATGGATCTGATGAATTCTGCAGCGACGTTCATCGCAGTAGGACACATTATTGCTGCAATATATGACTATCAGTAACACCTACAAGCCTTTAATATTCTGCAGCTGAACTGTGGAAACAGAAGAAAGTCACTTGTAAATGCCTAATTCACAGCGTAAGTGGGTTGTCTGTCAAAATAATGCTCAGATGTGAAACTTCAAGTAGGAAGCCTAAAAATCAGAAAAATGCAAGGCACCTCTTGATGAATGTTAAAAGCAGTTTAGAGAAGGAGAAAACGACCAGAATACTTTTCTGTTTTCGTCCTCATCACGGAGTTGCAATTAGCTCTGTCTGTACAGGTATCTAATCACAGGAATTTCTGCAGTCTTAGCAATCATCCTCTGGAGGGTAAAAGAGGGTTGTTTCAAGCAACAGGGCTTTGAATATGGCAAAATGGATTCTGCCCTTCATTTTCCTCCTCCAGGAAATGTCTCCTGCTTATTTCTGTCTCCCAGTTCATTTGTTTCAATAGAAGTGCTGGTTAAGTGTGCCGTGCTCTAGGATTTACACTGCACTCCCTGTTCCTCTGCAGATGGAGTCTCCTTCAGAGCACCCAGTCACTCGTGGGAACAAGTCCTCAACCCTACCCCTCCAAGGACATGAAAGTTAGGTGGTGGCAGGAGAATTCAGAATTGGAGAAAGAATGGACTGAACAGAAGCATTACAACATAAAAAAACGCATTTAAAAAAATGGGCATTTTGTGTTACGTGACGGAATCGTCCTCTCCTGCCTCGCTCCAGTGCCAAACGTGCTGTGGGATTTGCAGGCCGTGAGTCCATCAGACTTTGCCTGTTGGTGCAAACAAGGAGCAATAGCTGCAGAAACTGCAGCGCAGGCTGAGGGCAGCGCCCCTCTCCTGGACCATCCAGCGGGACAATCCTGGTTGGCATTCCCGTCACCGACAGCTCTTCCCATGAAACATCGCCCCGGGCTTTGGCAGGAAGTTGTGCTTACCGACAGACTCTCATAGGAGACGCTTGATTATATTAGACAGATAATTATTGATCCAGCTATAGTTTATCCTTGCTGCCTAATTTCAATAAACAACAGCTTGGGGGAATTAGCAAGGGATTCTGTTCCCCCTCCCCCTGCTGCTTCAGGATTTGTCAGAAACAAGATGATTTATGTGTATTCCAGTAAGATTCTCGTTTGTTGGCAGGCTGCAGGGATTGTTTGGGGTTGGAAGTACTAAGCTTTTATATTTAAATGCTTCCATGCAAGTATTCATGGGCCTCACTGCCTTGCATTGTAATATCTGAATAATAACTGTGACTTATGCAAACCAGTTTTCAGCTGTTCATCGGGATCAATTTTTCATTTTAAGCAACTCCCTGCCATCCCAGGGAAAAAAAATAATAATCTGATAGGCAAGAAGAGTGAGACCCAAGGAAAGCAGCAATACTTTTCCCTTTTTAAATAATGTACAACTCATTTCTGAAGCACTTTCAAATGTGTTGCTTTCTATTAAGTATAGATAATATTTTGAGGATGTTCCCCCCTCCTTTCAGGTGAAGTTTTTGGAACAGCAAAGGTCCACAAAGCACAGGCAGGATGGCCAAATAACTTCAGTTCCTTCAGGGAACACCTCAGTGTCATTTCTCCTTTTTTAATAAAAATCTCCCACTTGGACAGTGAAACAAAATTCTTACTGCTAATAATTAGATCTCTGCAGGTAACTAAGTTTTTAAAAAACACCCCAATTTTATTTCTACTTCCAGGCTCGTTTGGGAGTCCCAGTTGCTAGAATACTGCTTAGGATTTAGTTGTCTCTTACTGGCACAATTTGGAATCTTGCTGTTCAATAAACACTTCATTAAGCACCAGACTGATGAGCTACAACACGATTTACAGATGAGCACTTGGGAATGATCTGCTCACTTCCAGGCCTGGGCTTCCCAATGGGAACCAGATCCCAGCTGGTGCCTTTCTCAGGGCCAGTGAGATTGATGCTCTGGTATTTCAGCTCTGTCCAAGAGTCAGAGTAGCCAAAATTCTTTCATTAAGTACCAGATACAAAGGTCACACAGGAAGTGGCTTATCCATGAAAAATCCCTGATTTGGCAATATCCATGTGCTCGCAGTCTGTGCGGTTAGGAGGAGCCTGGAGTTCTTGCAGGCGTCAGCAAGGAATCCTTTTGTCCAGGAAAATAGGAGGTAAACAGATTCTATACAGGGCACACACTATTTCATACTGTCACTTGATTATTTACTTTACTTTCAAGAAAGGTTTCAGGATAACCTTTAAAAACTGAAAACTAAGAAAAAAAACCCTAAAAGAAACTCAAAAAACTCAACCCAACCTACTTCCCACCTTAGTTCCAAGACCTCCTTTCTCCTGAGTCACAGTCCTTATTATAAATTGTAAATTTTGCCCAGAAAAAAAGTGAGATAAATACCTATTGTAGCTGGGAATCCCAAAATGAACTGTAAATCTGGAATGGCACAGCCTGCCCATTTCCTTTGGCCTCCCACAAGAGGAATAAAGCCCTTTTCCAGAAGCTTTTGCAATAGTGGGGCAAGAGAACAACCTTCCAACAGACACCCGGCCTGGTTTTAAAGACTTTTAAAGACATCCCCACAGCCCATGGGAAGAGACCCCAGCAGTGAATCACTAGCACAGCTGAGAAAATTTAACAGGAATTATTGAAGTGGGAGAGTTTTCACAAAATATTGAGGCTTTTTCAGTAGAGACCCTCTATTCTTTTTCACTCTCTTGCAGCACAAGCATCCAGGATCTCTTTTGCTGCATATTTAGTGAACAGCATCTGCAGCATCTTAATTACAGTAGCTGTTCTCATCTTAATCTCTTGCTTCAGAATAAGGTTAAGTGTAATCTGTCCTAGATTCTTATACAGATGGTTCGTTTCTTAAATACTTGAGAGGAGTTTAGTCGATCTTTAATTCCTTAATCTGGGAACCAAGACCAACCAACCTGATTCTGACTGATATTTTAGCTGATTTTACAAGAAAAATGTAGCACACACAAACACGGGTTGATTCCTTTTCAATATTTTTTCTTTTGTTCTAATGAAAGTCACTGGGAGTGAGAAGATCCACATGACTCTGATTTCCTCCCATTTAACTCAAAGAACTACACAGCATTATGGATAAAGAGCACCTGAATGTCAGAAGAAGCCAGCAAATATTTTTTTCTTTAGCTGAAATATAGGAGTTTCTAAACAGTTCAATAATATAATCAGTAGATTTTTTTTTTTTTTTTAGTCTATGACCAGATTGCTGTCATTCCAAAAAATACAAATCCTGATTGGACATAGATTTCCTTTCTGCAAGAAAGCTGTGCCTACCCAATTATGGTCCTGGCAGGGAGCAAACTGAGACAAACAATGACAGTTTTCAGTCTGGTTTATATTGAAACACAGCAGTGAAAACTGATGTAAAATTTTAAACCAGGGTTTTGGTTTTTAGTTATTGGCCCGAGTCTTGAACCAAATTTCTTGACCTTCACACAACCATGAAGAAAATCAAAGGGTAGATTTTTTCACTCAGACTAAGGGAATGAAAACCTCAAGGGTTCACTACAGTTTTTCTTGTCTGCTTCAATTTCCCTTTACAAGCTGAATTGCTCTTTTATTCCCAGTATCGCACCGAGGGAACCCAGCACAGTTTCATCGCTCCACACTTCCTGTGAGAATCAATGACAGCTCCCAAAAGCAGCCAGAGGAAGTTATGAAATGAGAAATCACCACCCCAAAATCCTGTGGCAGTGTCAGCCCAGGATGCTGCATCCCTGGAGTTACAGGCTGTTGTCCAGCACAGCCCTTCTTTTCCAGAGGAAATAACTGTTCACCTCTTTAAGCTAATAATCACGTCACCATTTTAATTCCCCAGCTCTTGGCTTGCGCTTATGATTTCAAGCTTTGCATTCAGTAAGACCCTAAAGAAAGCTCAAGAAATGAGCTCCCCAATAGTCACTTCTCTTGGTGGGCTCTTCCAGAACAGGCTCTGCCCACGCTGACTTCTGGCAATCCTCCAGGGAAGGCATTTTGACACCCTTTCCAGCAATTCTGGGAGCGCCATGTAAGATAATTGAGATGTTTCATTTCCCCTCAGCTGTGGAGTGAGGATTTTTCTGGGAGCATTTTAAAAAATAGCCATGATGGGCAAAGAATCGTGGAACTGTTAAGGTTGGAAAAGACCTCTAAGATCATCAAGTCCAAACGTGCACGAGGAAAACCTGCTAGGAAGATGGAGAGGGCCTTTTCATAAGCGTGTGTAGTGACAGGACAAGAAGGAACGGCTTCAAACTGAATAAGGACAGGTTTAGATTAGATATTATAAATAAATTCTTCCCTGTGAGGATGGTGAAGCCCCACACAAGTCGCCAGAGAAGCTGTGGCTGCCCCATCCCTGGAAGTGTCCAGGATTGCTCCTAAGAATGGTGACTCCACTACTTCCCTGGGCACCCTGTACTTATATTTCCACAGAGAGCTTTTTCCTAATATCCCACCTAAACCTCCCCTGGCACAACCTGAGGCTCTTTGCTCTGCTCCTCTCACTTCTTTTTGTTGCTCCCCTTTGAGATTCCAAGGACTGAAGCCAAACGCTGCAGGATATCTGCACCCACCTTGCAGGGTGAATGAGCCATTCCCCTAAAACCTCATATTAAGGCATTGATCCGAGTTAACAATAATCTTTATTTATGCCCTTGATAAATCAGCAGCTCCTCAGGCCCAAGCCTCCCAGCAGGACCCCTCGAGAGCCGGGTCTCCCCACACAAGCTCTTTGTCACAGCCCCTTCCCCCTGCCCACACTCGACTTCCCCAACTTCCTAATGTGCCTCTTGGCGAGCCGCAATTTTTCTCCGGGATTATAAATTTCCGCGCTTGCCCTGATCCGGCAGCTGCCGGGCTGCCAGCGCGCCGCGATTGCTCCCGGGTGACACGAGCAGATCGA